CCCAATTCATCAGTCAAAGTGTTATGCAAGTGGCCCCCTAAATTGATAAATTCCCACAGTGCCTGTTGACCCAGCTGCCAAGTGCTCATGCAGCAGGTGTTGTTTTCATGACCACCCTGACAGTAATACAAACTGTTTAGCAGTTGCATTGACCTCTTAGCTATTAACATTGATACAGGCTTCACTAGGGACTAGTTTTCAAACATGACAGAATTTCTTAAGACTAGAGGTCATGAACAAGTATACCATATAAGAATAAATTTGATATGCTGCTGAGTTTAAATCTTAAAAGCCGTGAGTTTTTTCCACATTATTCCCATGTAGTAAATCTGGAGACAAGTAACGAGCTTTTGGCATCTCTCCCAGGACTAAAGGTATACTTTTTAATTTTAGAAGCTGTACCTGAAGAGATGCTATATTTATTCTATGACAAGTAGTAAATTTAGTCTATGACAAGTAGTGAAACAAAATTATTTTTTCTTGACATTTTCCTTTATAAAGGGAAAAAACCAAACAACTAATGCACAAATTTTGGGGATATACTTAAGCATCATTCTAATACCTAATACCTTGTGTGCCGTTAATTGAAGCATAATATTCTTTCCATATATTTTGTACCACAGTCATGAATTTCTACGTGATTTCTACAGCCATGTCTCCTGTTCTAATTTGAACATCCAGGAATTTTGTCTGGGTTTTTTCTCACTTCAGTGGGAAACTACATCTCAGATTTCTGAGATTGTGTCAAAGACACGGTGGAGGAATTGTTTTCTGTTCAGCACCACTGTATTACTGCTGAATTTGACCCTCCATTTGCATAGATTTATGTATGTCTGAGTTACAGGCATAGTTGCATACAGCAACAAAATAATTCTGTGCATTTAGTGGAACCGTGAAGAGGTGCACTAAAGAAAGCATGAAATCCTAACCAGTTCCAGGATGAGTTTTAATCTATTAAAGCATGTTAGACTTTTACATGCTGCTAAACTAACAGTAGCTACAGTAATGCAGCAAAAATTATTTTACACATCGTACAGTCAAGAATTCCCAGCTCACTGCACATGTCAGCGAAGGGACCGAGCGAGGGCCCCAGCCCATGGTACTTTTCCTCCATGTTCCATACATTTAGAGTTGTTACACAGTTTCATGAAGGCGTGTTTTAACAAGCAAGATATACTGTACTGTACTGTATATATGAACAGCTCTTTAAGATAACTAGAACTGTACAGACCGTATAAATAGTCATTATCAGCTACATTTTTGGCTGACTTTCTGCGGCGCAAATAGTGCTTACTGTAAGAGTAATCAAGCCGTACCCTTTAGAGTTTTATAGATTGAGGGAGACAAGGAAAAAAATTCTCTCCGGCCCACAGTGTGGCTCCATCTATTCCCCTCCATTTTCCACGTCAAGAGACACAGCGAAGCACTAGTTATATAAACAAAATCATAGGCTTGTCTAAGTGCTGGAAAGATCAAGTCCCGACAGTCAGTTTCAAGACTTATGTTATCTTCGTGAGATTCGGTTCAGCTTATGCTGAGCCTGAAAATTTCCACCCCCTTAAAGCCTGAAGAATGCAAAGTGTAAGTATTGTGGGGCAGAGACTGTTTCTTGGTATGTGTTGGTACCACAACAGCGTTCAAATCCTGAGAAAGAAGTTGTGCCTTTTCCCATAGTACAGCTAAAGAAAACCAGTAATTCTTCTCACACACAAGAAGGATTCTACTGCAGCTGCATTTGTATTCCTCTTCTCCTAAGGCACTCTGCCAACCAGAATTTTTTCCATCTTTGTTTCTACTCCACCCCACCATTAATAAATATTATCCAAGGCTGATGAGTGCAAGTTATTGATTGATGGTAGAATAAAAGGCAAGGTTATATTCACAAGTACCAAGAGAACTAGAAAATTTTAAATCATAAAAGTGACCAGCCACACATGGCTGGATAGAAAAAAGTATGATTTCTGCCTCCCTAATTGGCTACAAATCAAAAGAGAACCATATATTCCATCACTATCATAGAGAAATACTTCAAATCTATTAATAAAATAAATCATTATCTTCACAAGTAAAATATCTCTGTGACTTATAAGGTCATTCTTTGCTAAAGATATGCCACTGGAGCTCTCTTCCAAGAGATGCTCCAGCAGCCTGAAGTTATGTTTCCTGTTGGAAACATAGTACTGTACTTGTGTTTGAGCAAGAAAAGGAGAAGACTCCCATTTAAAGTAACTTGAAAGAAATGTGCTTTAACAGAGACAGATGAAGAAAGAATGTTGTCTCCTATGCAGTTGGCTATAAAGAAATCACCTCAAACTTAGATTTTTTTTTTTTTTCCAGAGGTAGGAATTAGAAGACAGATCTTTTTGCTTTAAATCTGAACAAGCCTCCACTGAAAATCGTATCAATTTGTAGAACTCTTCCCGAAACAGCACTGCCTGTGAATCTCACATATAATTTTTAGGAACTTAACCAGATCATATGTAATGCACTCATTACTACAGAACTGGAATTCCTTACAGGTCAAAAAAATAACACATTGTATTTAAAAGACAGCCATGGAAATATGTAAACACCAAAACTGAAAGGGTTTCTAATATGCTGCACGAAAGGTGTCAAAATATGTTTCAAAGCCCTTAAATAATACAGGACCATAAGTTTGATTCTCAGAACCACTTTTGAAATCAGAACTTGGTGCTACACTAAAGATGCATCTACACATTCTTTCTGTCCTTAACATCTTTGGGGAACCAGGTCTTCTGTATGGCTGTTTAAATAATCATGGTAGCAATTAAGACTGAGCAGACCAAGTGCTACGGTGAAACAATCCAGTAAGCCTGTACTCTATTACTCTGTTTCGAAGAAAAATGCAAGTAACCCTGTAATGCACCGTTAACAAGCTGCATGCCAAAATCGGGGCGGGGGACGTGCGGGTGGGTAAGCCCAGTCAGCTAGTGAGGGACTTCTATGACATTAGGTATGAGTGCTTATTTTTCTTAAAAATTATTTTTACCCTATCTAATATTACTTTGAATGGCCCCATTGTGCATAGAAATATCTTTTTAAAATCCTACTAGAGCACGGGCTTCATTGACATCTTAGAAGCCATGAGTTCAACTGGTTAATTTTATTTTCTTTAGCTAAATTTTTTCCCTCAATATTTCTCTGGTGTTGAAATGGGAGATAAACAAGAATGCCCAATTTTCCTCCTCTTTTTTCCTGCCACTGTTTTCCACACCTCCCTCACACGCCTTCTTTCTCAGACTCCAAATACTATCCTTTTCTCCACACAGGAGTTATCAATCTAGGATTTTAATATTTGACAGGATAATCAGTGCACAAGCTGCTCTTCCAGCTATCTGCATATAATTGAGGGTTTAATACTGATGTCAGTATAATCAACAATGTTATTTTCTATTCTATTCTATCTCATACAGTTTTGGTTTGGTTTGCTTGGATTCTAGCTGGACACTTAGACAAGGTTTCTCTGAGCTCTCCACAAAACTATTAGAAACTTTGTCCTGCAAATTTCAAGCTTAGGAATGTATGGCAGTAGTTCAAATTGTTTCCTTGAGAATGAATAATTTTGTATTTGTCACTAATTAACTTAATTTGCCATTACGGTCCCATTCAATTACTTGTTTAGATCTCTTGGGAGATCCTGACATTATTTTCTAAATTTATTCCTGTGCAATCAAACCTACAGCAGCGACAAAACATGGTATCTCTATTGGGAACCTGTAGCCTTGTGATGATCCTATCAGTCTCTTGCTGCGGAACTCAGCCAACAAATAAAATAAGTGGTCAGTATAATGACATACAACTAAATTTGAAAAAACACAATAAACATCTGAAAAAGCACTGGAAGATGTACGAACAGTTAAGGCACACAAGCCAAAACACTTAAGTGTTTTACACGTGACACTACAGAAGGAACACTACAGTTCCTTCTTTGTTAAGGAAGATAATGCTGTGCTTTTGTCAATAAAAAAGGCTACTGGACTTCCAAAGTATTTTGTAGAGACTGACAGAAAAAAATTCATTATATAAGGCTTGACACCAAGAAACCCATCAAAAAAACAGTATCAGAAATATTTTAAGTCAGCTGAACTAGAATTTCCTTCATGCATACATTCCACAGAATCACCCACAGAATGGCTGAGGTGGGAAGGGACCTCTGGAGGGCACCTGGTCCAACCCCCCCGCTCAAGCAGAGTCACCTACAGCCAGTTGCCCACGACTGTGGCAAAAAAGCTTCTGAATTTCTCCAAGGATGGAGACTCCACGCCTCTCTGGGCAACCTGTGCCAGGGCTTGGTCACCTTCAAAGTGAAAAAGCCTTTCCTGATGTTCAGGTGCTTAAATAAGAATCCAGAATGCATAATCCAAACATGATTTCAAGAAAATACGGAAACAAAATATCTGCAATGTCAAACCAAATTCCTAGACAGAGGTAATACTGTCGCAAAATTATTATGCATGTCATAATGTGTGACACAAAACTTGCTGTTCAGATTACTCTTCCCAGCATACAATTGGAAAGATAAATCAGCTAGAAAAGCAAAAAGACACCATCAGATTCTGGTCTGAATTATACGACTATTTGCACGCTCCGAAGAAAAGCCACACATTCAGTAGAATATAGGACATCTAATAATGATATTATCTAGAGATATATGCTGCCTGCAATAAGCTCTTCAGCAAGCTGGTTTTGCCAGGTTCAAGCTTCAAGAATTCTCAAGGACTATGATTTAATCTTGTAAAAGATCTCTGAAGGCAGTTATATTGAAAGAATAGCAAATCACACTGTATTTTTCTTTAAGGTAACGTATCATGTCTATGTTTATTGGTGTTTTTGAGAAAAAAAGCAATCCCCTTAGAACATAGATTTCTCCCACTGCTAATACCATAAAAGCGAATCAGGCCTTTAATAAAAACCCCAAGTTTTTTTCTTCTTTTCTTCCAACTTTTAATTATCTGCTTGGTTTGGATATTTTTATTCAGGCCTTTAGTCCCTGAAGAATGCAAAAGAACGGCTCAGTCTGCACAGATACTGACATCTGAATGCTCAAGGCATTGTCGGAATGGGCACTGCACTCCCACAGGAAAATGCTGCTGTAATCAAGGCTGGGAAGGAGAGTTCTGCAGAACTGGTTTGTATATAGATTCAGAGCAACAAGTGAAAAAAGCAGTGACATGTCATAATTTGCTTTTAATGATTCGCTGAGAGAAATTTTCAATATATGTCATTGACCATCAGTTCTGAGACAACATTAAAGGAACACTGATCTCATGAGTTGTAGGAGAACAGTGAGTCTTTAGATGAGTGCAACAGTTAAAAAATCTAATGCAATGTGAACCATTACAGAATGCAATTAATAGCATAAATATGACAGACAACCGTATTATTTTTTCACCAAGATTGTAAAAGGAGAGGAAATGCAATCAACACATGTTCTATATTTGGACATTCACCTTCCACCTGCAGGATTATCACTGTCAGTGTCAAACAGGAGTACCTTGTCAGGAGAGATGATAAATCAGACCCTATTGCATATTTTGCACTTCGCTAATTCAATGCAAATACTTTAGTTTTGGTACATTCTTACTTTCAATCCTACAAAATAAAATGGCTTCAGTTTGTTAAAAAGAATTCTGTGTACAACTAATCACAAAGCAGGTAATAATCAGAAAGTTATTGGAATCCATTATTAATCACGGTGCTTTTATTAAGTCCTATCTTGTTGCCATAGCATATCTTTTAAAAGTCACTTGAAAAAGTGACTGTGATCAAACTAGATGTTGGGTGTGCTACCAAAGGGGTGAGATGAAGGAACCTGGAGTGCCACAGCTGTGCTATCACTGTCTCACAGAGGCTGTGGTTATGTCTGGGCTGTGTAACTCTGGCCTATGCAGCTCCTCCGGAGCAAGCCTGGGAACCAGGAGGTGTTATTCAGTGCATCAGCAGAGTCTTCTGACTGCACGTGTTTGCTCAGCGAGTTTGAACAGATGCCTATACAAAGAGATAAGGTTAACATAATGGCAGTAGAACTCAAAAGAGGAAAAGAATCACAGGGTAAGATAAAGCAAGGATCACACGATGGACCAGGGAAAATTCAGGTTGGAGGGGCACTCAGGAGGGTGCTGCTGAAGCAGGGTCAGCTACGAGGTCCTTATAGCCCAGAGTGTAAATTTCAGCAACCTCCAGGTTTTTAGTGATGAGCAGGAGTGACTTCGTTTGCAATCAAATGAAATGAAATTAATGAAATCACTAATGATATATATTACTGGCAAAATTCGTGAGCTGACCATCATACAGCTGTGCAACAAAAGCAGGTTGGAGAAACGGATGAGGTAACCTGGCCAAATAGCCCAACTTCAGTTGCCCTCACTTGTGAGTCAGAGATTTCCTGCATTCAGAGGATGAGGCCCATTCTACAGTCCTTGTCCAAATGGAACTTAAAGTAAAAAACGTCTCCAGTGTGAATACAAATAGGTCTTGAATAATCTGTTTTGTTTAAAAAAATACAGCTCTAGGATAGATAATTTGATAGGTGCAATGTACAATAAAGCTACAGAAAATACATAGCTTAACAGAGATGCAACCTTAACAGAGATGTTCCAGGTGGGACCTCAAGCTACTATTATAATTTAAATAAGAAAAATTACCTTACGAGGCATCAGTTTCTTCCTACTGTACTTAAGAAACTCATTAATAAAATCAAGAAGCCCTTTTTTAATATATAGTGTATTATAAATCTCTGTAAATCAGTATTGTAGCTTTATTGTAATAAATGTCTGCAAAAAGAAGGATACATTATTTTTATCACAGTGCTGTGACTCCGTCCCAGAAAAAAAACTTCCACAACTGAAGTTATTGACTGTTAGTTTTGCTAACACTGGCTACAATTTAAAATAGCATTTATATTTGAAAAACTTAAGCAAGCTGATTAACCTAGAACTCTACAGGTAAATTGTCAGGCGTCTGCTAAAGAGAGAGGGAAAAACTTTGAAACTTAACAAAGTGATAAGAGCTGCCCAAAAAATACTCTGGTTCTTTTTTTTCTAAAGGGAATTAAATTTTGTTCCAAGCATAAGTGATTCAAGAGCCAAAGAGTGCATCTCTTGTCAACTGTAGTCTGCTCTGCTAAGGAAAGCTTGTAGTGCAGAATGTAGAAAGGAATTTACCGGAGATTCAGTACTTACTAGCTTGGAGACGGCTGGGTGCTAAAATGTCTCACCAACTTCAGGACTTTTTTGGGTTGCCAGCATAAGAAATGGGATGAGGTAGACCACCATTGTTTAAAGATCTAGATGTGCTGTATGTCTTGTTTTCCCCTAAGACATTTGGAGCCTAAAGTCTTTTGAGATGGGTCTTCTATGCACTCCAAAATCAAGCATGAATATAGGAATTGGACATTTTAAGAAATCTGCTATTTGAGTTTCACGGTCTGTCCTGGGTGACATCCTCTCAGACATACAAAATTACTCCCTCCCCCTAATATTCTAGAGCTTTAAAAATATAGTTTCAAAACTTCTAGTATTTCATCCTTTCTATTTTAATTTATCATCTTCTGTTTTATCATTATAAGTTTAGAAAAGCTCTTAATGAATGCGTACTGTATCTTTTCGGTTTGTGATGTTCTAAACAAATTAGAAAATCACTGTTTTTTTACCCACAGCAAAATGTGACCCAGCCTGTCGACATGGAGGTGTCTGTGTAAGGCCTAATAAATGCCTGTGTAAAAAAGGCTATCTCGGCCCCCAGTGTGAACAAGTGGATAGAAACATCCGAAGAGTGACAAGGGCAGGTATTCTTGATCAGATCCTAGACATGACATCCTATTTGCTGGATCTAACCAGCTATATTGTATAGTTTCTGGGACTATTTGGAAACTACACTTTCAACGGGCATTTGTTTTGAATCCTGTCATTTTTAAAAGACTGTTATCCTGCAACAAATACCGGTGATTTGATCTACTTTATTAATTTAATTATAATATCCACAAATGTGCAGATAAATTCTCTGTATGTGTGTAAATATTTCCGTACGCCTCCACAGACGTACCGATATCCAATACGTGCACACATACATACGCACGCACTATCACAAATATGGTTTTACAGCTGGTGGAATTTTTTTTTATATTTATTTCTTCATGAGAAATAGTTTACAAAGTAATTCCACTGTAAACCACATTTTTGTCAAAGGACTTTTGTGATGTCTTAATGGATTCTTTGGCATCCCAGAAATCTCGTGTCTGTACCTATCTGATTATAGCAATAAGAGAGCAGTTTCCAAACATGGCTGTATAAACTGCTGGACTTAATAAAATCCAGTTGTAACAGTTTCTAAGGTGAACTGAACTACATCATGAGACGATATTTCAGAACTCCTTAATGCATTCCTATCTAGGCAATTCATTGTAAGACTGTAACCTTCACCTTCATCAATGTAACTCTATTACAGAATGTTACGCATTTCTTTATCTAGCATAGATGCAAAAATCTGGTTATCGCAGCTTAATATCAAGATTGTTTCAAGTGTTTAATAATTAAATTATATTCGCATATTTCAAAACCAGTCATCCTAGAAGGTCTGCTTTTTATCATATATTTTATTTAACGATGGGCACTGGGTTCATGTTACATATTTATATTATTTTATTTTATTTTTATAATATAGACATCACCTAGATGAGACAGCTTTACCATGTCCTGTAAAATACTAAAGTTACATTTTTCACCAACTTAATTGGAAAGACGGGGAAAGAGAGAGCAAACACACTCTTTAATGTGTTGTGGATCTAATCTAGAAATGTATCCTTGTGTCAACTTGTACTCATTTACGACGGATGAAAAAAACAACCGCCAACCTATCATAATAAAATTCCAGCATATGTTAAAAGTGTTCATAAAGTGATTTTCACTGTAACAGGACGGGCCAGATTATACACAAGTAGACTGCTGCTGATTTGACACTGAATGGAACGTCCCTGGAGGAGAGCTCACATGAGCATGTGTTGGCTGTGTAAGATGTCACTTGTACAAAACGTATAACAATTCTCAACAAATGCGGTTCTAAATGTAAATGTTCCTTGAAGAGCTAACATAAAATTGCGTCTTTGTAAATGTATCAATAAATACGGTGTACATGCTATAGTCAGATTTTCTAAAGTATTAATACTCTAATTACAGGTATCTTCAGAACTGATGCCCTCTTATCTCTAGCTCTAGGGCATTATTGGCAGTTTCTTTGCTCACTACTTACCGACTATCAGATTTCCTTTGCACTACCTGGCTTTTATAAAATCTTGCCTATAGAAAGAAAGCAGAGTAGCCACAATGTGCACGTCCTATGCTTCTTATAAGCAGCTGCTCATGCGTCAACGATTCACAACACTTTAGGCAATAAGATCTAAAAGGCTTTAGCCATATTACTCTCCAGTGGCAAAATTACCTCTCCAGGGTAATGACATTTTCCTTTATAGAAAGTTTTTGGTCTTCATTTAGTAAGTATTAAATCTGAAAGTACAGCATGACTGATACTTGCATTTCTCTGTCTTACGCATTCCAGCTCAGAGGAACAGAAAATTACATTTGCCTTCCATATACGTTTGCCTGGGTTTTGAGTGACCTCATGCCAAATGGAAATTGGTTGAGAAATCTTGGTTAAGTGCTCAGCAAACAATGGTCTGCATTAAAAAGTGCATGCATAATTTTGCACAATGTAGATTCAACTGACAGTCCATTGAAAGACGTCTCGGGATTAAATGAGCATGAAGACCAAATTGCCCTCTCACCCCAGAAAAGGGTGGTCCCTTATAGTCACACGAACACTTCATTGGCTAAGCAGTGTGACCAATCTTAAAATGAACCCTGCGGTAGCATCTGTAGGTTAATAGCAGCTCTTTGTCTCCGCTGCTTTCTGCCTTTAGTCTTTTCCCTGAATTCCATCACAAAAAGTTTTACAATTAAAAAATGTCCTGACAACCATTTTCGTAAATTGACCTTAGCATCTAATCTTTCCTTATTCAACGTGGGTGACAAAAATGTGAACTTCTCATGAATGAGCCAGCTGTCTAAATCTGTCAAATAGTGCAGTTTTATTACACTCTTCATAATCAGCAAAGCAAGAAAGTCGCTTAAGTATTTTAGCAGCATTTAAATATCTGACAGAGATAATGTCTTTAACACTTTCTTTAATGAAATATATTAAAAAATAAACCCAACTTTAACTCCGCTGTGATGCATTATTTTCAACAGCTAGTTGGGGAGATGTGATAGTTCTTTTCTCACTGCTTAGTTCCTGGAGAATTAAAAAATACCCCGGATGGTACCTAAACTGAAGATCCCCAGTAATATATACACCATAGTTATGTAAAGAAGGGATAGCAATGATCTTAAGAGTTTTGACCTTAATAATAAAAACAATTTAGTTTACTTGTGAAATGAGAAAATAAAACTCCAGTAAAAGTTAAGAGTTAAATCCAGGCCTCATTCAAATCAGTGGCGAAAAGCTCACGTCAGCTGTGCTGCACTCAGAAAATCACTTTCAAAATTTAAGCAAGATGCTTCAGTTTATTTTATTAAAAAACAAGTTCTGTTTGAGTCGTTCCACCTAAACATGAAAACTAAGAAGTAATCTAAGTGAAGATTAGAGGGAGAGGGGAGGTAGTTTGTGGAAAGTGTTTTGCTTCATTTTAAAATCATCTTTTATATCATGTGAAAGCAAGCATCTGCATTAAGCCCACATGGGCACATAGGAAGTCCCAGTGGAAAAGAAGTATTCTCAAAAAAAAGGCACAAAAAATCCTAGCTGCTTATTTATCAAAAGAAATTATACTATTAAAAAGAGTGAGTAAACCCCAGGCCTAGCCACCCAAGATGCTAATATAAAAAGGGCAACTGCAGTAATTGCCCTGAGAATTGGCATACAAAAAAAAAAAAAAAAAAGGGTCTGTAGAAAGCCCGTTGCCAGTTAGGTCATTCTGCAGCCATTCTCACACAGCCTCCGAGAGTGTCCCAGAATAAAACTGAGCTTATAAATGAAACTAGATAAATGAGGCAATTAGATAAGGGCCTCCAGAAGGGATTTTATGTATGTGTTCAAGTTGTCTCTCTCTCTCCCCCCCCTAATCTTTTATTCCATTCATTTCTTCCTTTATTCAGAGATACTGCCTCTCTGTTCCCAACACATTGTACATTTCAAGCATTCTTTGAGGCTTTCTACTGTTAGAAGAGAACAAACATACCTGTTGCAAGAAACGTAACTCTATTCCTGATGTCTGCTAGTTTTCAACCCTTGTTTTATTATTTTGGGACAGAAAACTTTCATCTTTCTCTTTTTAAATGCCGCTGATCAGAAAGAAGGCATAGTATTGAAATATAAGGAGAAACATCTTTACTCGATAGATAAGTAAGGAGACAAGAAGACATTATGTAAAATTAGCTCCAAATTGTTTCACTCCATTTCAGAAAAACAGTAAACTCATTTTCCTAATGTGTCCAATAAGAAATAGTAACTCAAGCCCTCCCCCTCAAGGAAATAAATTTCTTCCAGTAACAGTCAGGGACACAGATGCAAACCCTTTGTACCTTTAAATCCTCACAGGTTATTCTACAAACAAAGTGTAAGTTAGGTATAAATGAGAGTACAAATCCTCTATTGGCAACACGACACCTCTGTTTATCTCCTCCTTTCATTCACTTCTCCAGTTTTGGCTTTGGAACTCCTTGCTTTCTAGAACCACAGCAAACGTCAATACTCCCTGGCTGCTGCAGGTGATGCTGATTATTTTGAAACTGCCTAACAGGCATGCGCATCAAAGAGGCTTCCCAGCAGGCTGAGGTTTTTACCTTTGGATCCTTCCACAGCACTTTGTTAGTTTACAGTGAGGTCTAATACTGTATCTTAGGGGGGCGTTTACAGTTCAGGAGTACCGGCCTCAAGCAGCTCAGCCTCCGGCAGCGCAGCTCAGCCACAGACAGACTGGAGCTGCAGGAAGGGAGAAAGTGCTTGGTCACTGTACAGTCAATATGCTTATCAGAAAGTTATTGATTTTAATCCTATAATCAGATGCCGCAAGTAAAAAGCTGAACGATATTCCTGGGATGATGAAATGTCGCTTTTCAGTATACATTTTCTCTAATTTGGGGTTAGAAACGAGGACCTTTTCTTGTACAATTATGCAAAATTGAGCTTCTGAAAACACTTATGAACAATTAATTTTTCACAGGTGTAAAGTCCCATTAAGGTGAAAAGAAATATTTGTACATGTAATTCTTCTTGCATCCATGAAACGGGCATTTATAAGATTGGTACTACATGGAAAAAACAACTCCGAGGACATCCTGCTCTGCTTATTTCTCCTTAATTATGCAAATCTTTTAAAAGACATTAATGCAGTTTAATTTACTATCCTTTAGTTTAACTGTGTATCAGGTTAATTAGGAATGATACAATTTTGATCTTCTGTCCAACTTAAAAGGTGATCTTTGTCTCAGAAAGGAGTCATGAAGTAAATAAAACCTCATTTTTCCCATTTTGCAATATTAAAAATTGTCCAATATTTTACTTTTGTCACTTAAAAAAAAAATTAACTAAGAATCTCACCAAAAAGGCAACCAATCCTTTAAATATATTCTAATCCAAATTTGAAGAAAATATGTACTGAATAATCTGGGTGCTGGCTACAAAAAAATGGTAAATATTTCCAGAAGTAGTTTCAGGGTAAAATGTAGAAACATTGCAAAAAGTTAAGACTGTTTTGCTAAAATGTTCATTGTTTTCAATAACAGAGTAATTTGGTGAAATAAGACGTGTATTTTTTAGGATATAGGTGTGAAACAGCAGAAGCCACCTGAAAGCTTAGTACAGGATTACTTTAATCTTTGAGGGCCTGACTCGAAGTCCATTGATGTCAGCTGAAAATCTCCTATTGACTTCATTAGTTATAGGATTAAGTCTTTAAAAGATATCCACTTAGCTGGCAGAAGATCTTAACTGCAGACATCAGTGCACGCATGACCTCTCTGTGTCTGCATCTGCAGTCATTAGACACACCGAGGTTTTACGGAATAAGTCGGCAGATTCAGCCCTGCATAAAGCTGTACAGAGCGTATCCTACTTAAAGATGTACAGAGCATATTCAGTCCTCTTGGGGTTCCTCATCGGTATTGCCAACGGTTACACAAGGGGTCTATTAAATCTGCCAGGCTTCTTGACACTTCTTTTAAAATGTTGAGCAGTTAGCTCACATTTTTTCTCTTTCACAAATATATGCTTATTTCAAATACGTAAGCATGTGCCACTTAGCAGGGAAGAAATTAAAACACCAAGTCAGTGGCCCCATTTTATGAAGTAGCCATAGTAAGACAGGGCCTAAAGTTGCCCCCGCAGATGCTCACAAACATCCACGGCAGAGTTCCCTTCGCTGTTTTGAGTCCAGTATTACAAAGGCTGAATTCAGCAGCTTTAGGCACATTTTCAAACCTTTCTTCCTGTATTTAATAGGAGTGGTGTAATATTTCAATCAAGACTACGGTCCTAATCCAAAAATGTTGTTGTCACCCTTCCTAATAAGACTAGTAAGGCTGAAAGCGATGAGACTCCTCAGTACTGAAATGACAGGCGTAAGCGATGACGGGGTGGGACATGAGCAGGCGTGGACGCGTGCTAGGCAAAGGGATAGCCGCTTGCCTTTGTACTCGCTGATTTCAATTTCGACTCTGCACACAGAATTTATCGTGCTCTAAAATGCACAACATCCAAGCAATCTTACCACAGAATTAATTCTGCATGGATTTCCACTGGGCAGACTGACTAAGCAGACAGTGTTACTCGTGCCTC